TGGGAAAAAAAATAAAGCTTCCATGGACTCAACATACCTCTCAGCAGATAGCTTAGGTTGTCTACTTTCCGAAAAGGGGTAATTTGGGGGTGATTGAACTGTCCTGGTATTTTAGCACCCCAAAAAATGTGATGGGCAGTCAGAAAGTAAAAACTGTGTAAATTCCATTATCTATACCATTGTTTGTAGAAGCTATAACTTTCACACAAACCAATTAATATGCAGTTAAATGTTTTTTTTTTTTTTAATTTTTGGTCTTTATTTACAAACACAAAAAATAAAAAGCACACAGGTGATTAAATAACACTTGGAACAGGCTGCATGCTATACATGTATGTTATCCAGCCTGCTCGTGCCACCTGCCCACATTAAATATACTGTGTGAAAGTGGGAAGCAGATAATATAAGTTGCGGTGTATTTTTAAAACACTTAGTTTTTTTGAGGTGTGGGAACACACCTCATATAAGCAAACCCCCCTTAGAGATCCACTGTTGGTTACAAATTGGGGGAGGGGTTCACCGAAAGAAACACCACCGTGTCCTAGATCAATACTAGAACTGCACCCTCCTCCCCCTGGGACATGGGCTGCTTCCAGGGACACACTGCTGCTGCCTGCCTTGACCCCACCAGCCTGCTCTGACCCAGGAATCAGCAAATAAAGGACAACCTGGCCCTTCCATCCCACATCCTTCTCCTCTAGTCTGGGAGAGACCAGCCGCAGGCCAGCCTCCCAGGAAGGACATACACAGGGGAGCTAGCAGGAACTACAGTAGCATGGAGAAGGATGGAGAAGAGGGAGGACAGGAGAGGAGCCCTGACAGCTGCCCAGGCCAGGCGCCTCTCCTCACGTCAACAATGAGGAGCCAGGGAAGAGGGTGAGCAGAGATGAGGGGAGTGCTAAAATGAGTTGATACAGAGCTATGCCGGCCACATCATTCTCCTGACACAAGGTCCTCGCCCCAGGCCCAGGAAGACACAACAGCCACCACCACCGGCGATGAGGACAACTGAGGTCAAACCCAACAATCCACAGACAGGGCTCCGAGCCACTATCACTGCCATCTGGACCAGTCAGAGCCTGCCAAGCCAAAAGCAGAGGCAATGAGAGACGTGGGTAGTTCAGCCACCTGATGCCTCACCTGAGCGCCATCGGGGCAAATCGCAGGCAAGAATCTTGCAACCCGTCCAATTAGCGCTCAGAATACAGGAGCGGGCCTTGCTTGTGAAAGAAAAAATAAGATATCAAGGAGACAGCCAATAGGGTCAAAGGTGGAGGGACTTAACAAGTGATTCCTGGCAATTGGGGTGCGTCTCGGCCAATTATTTAGCGACTCCTCTGCTCTGACAAGCTATGCTCACGCCAGTGTAAGCGCCAGCTGGTTCAGTGGGAAAGGAGATCCCAGGAAAGCTTTGGAAGGCAGCCCTTCCAGCTGCTTGTAAATGCAATTGAGCAACTAGTTAGTCACTCCGATTGATATTACAACAGAGCCAACCATCAGTAGCTAGATGCCTGTATAACCCCCGGTATAACGGCTCAAATGAACCACAGCTGAAGTTGTGTATGTGTAGTCTCTCTCCAAATTAACTACAGCTTTGACAGAGGCTCCTGTGGGAGTAAGCATTTTAGTTACGGAAGTTACAGGCATGCTGTGGACAAGCATGGCATCCTGTGTCTGCAAGGAAAAAGGAAGGAGCCAAACATGGATCACACCAACACAGATCTGCCTCTGTGCTTGGTGTGCTCAGAATAAAAAAGACAGACGGAACTGGCAGGATTATCAAGTAAACATGATGAACTGGAGAAATACCAGATGAACAGGTTAGATTTAGCCACAAAAAATGATATAACAAATATGTGAAAGAGAATTTTTTTTCTTTGTTGGCAACATGCACTTTATGGTTTACCCATGACCTGTGTGGTCAGAAAGTAAACAAAGTTGCAATTTGTCCCACAAATAATGTCTAACTGTGAAATTCACTTAGGTTCAAAACAAGAAGAGGGCAATACCCGATGGAACTAAGGAAGCCTCCGCAGAATGTAGAAGCACAAGCAGAGGACTGCATCCCAGGCTGTCAGTGTCAGGTTCTGAGAGGAAACACACAAGGGTGCCCCATAGGTTGAGAGGCCTGTGTAACCATGGACTTACAGTACATTAGGGCAGAGTCCACAGTAGGCACAGAATGGAAAGATCAATTCCCTCCCGTTTCCCCTCTCCCCAAAGCAATAGCGCAAGGTAACCAGCAGAAGGTAGGGATCAAAAGACTCTCCACACCCTGTATCCAGCTGACCCAGCTCAGCTATTGAGTGCAGGCCTTGAAGAAAAAAATAATTCCCTGCAAAAAAGGTCCCAGCAGGGTTTTACTCCTGGAGATTAGGCAAAAAAAAAAATGAAGCTGCCTCTAGAGGTTGGGAGATTCGGCCTACGTCAGGGGCTAATCTAATGGCTATGCTCTTTTTTTTTATGCCTAATTTACTATTCCTGAAAGTGGTGCTATTACCCAATGATCAGAGTCGTAAGATCCATCTGTATTCTTCAATGAATAGCTTAGAAAAAAAAGGAAGATTTAATTTCAATTATTTCAAGCCTACTCTTATTAATCTGAATGATCCTTGAAATTTGAAAACTTTATTTTTGAAGAATCCCACACATTTAAATCCTTCACTTGTGTGACACATATTCGCTATCCCTTTTAAATATGCACTGCTGTGTAACATTTCACACAGCCTGCTTTGTGAATTACAGGAGGCACAGTCAGTACAGCAAACATTCCACATCATATCTGCTTCCAGGCAGCAAGGTAGCATGGAATATGTAGTTCTTAGAAATCGAATGTAAACCATAAGGAATGAGCAGCATGCATGGAATCTCGGAAGTTGTGGAAAAAGATGTCCAGCAGATAAGCAGAAGTCTCAACATAAAAGGAGATTTTTCATGTAAGCTTACTGTAAATTGGATTGTCAAAAATTAAACTCTTATATTGCTATAAAAATGCTCATGTTATAAAATGAAAGTGAACATTGTGACTACAGAACTTACCACAAAAGTAAATCAGTGATCACACTCCATGAAGATTTTTTTTCAGTAGATACAAAATCTGCTAAGCCGCTTTAATGTAAACAATAATGCTAATAAAAAATGCATTTGGGCATAATCATGCTGACAGCAGTGTTGGTTTATATGGTCAAACAATACAGAGTGTTGCATAGCAAGATCTATAAACAGTCTTAAAGCGCATCTATTGTCAAAATGGAAAAAAAAGTCATATTAAAATAGAAGTACAGCCAAAGCTCTTTTGGCTGCACTTCTGTGGATTACAGGAGTGCGGTCCATTCTGCACTCCTGTGATCTGTTTTCAGCCAATAGCAGGCTAAAGTCCACTGTCGGCTGACGTCACTCAGACTGGGGAGAGATTGAGACATTAAAAAGTCGGGATCCACCCAGATCCGGCACCTGGCTCAGTCTCTCAGCAATCTGCTGAGAGGCTGAGCCAGCTTCTCCCTCCACCTCCACAGTCCAGCGCTCCAGTGAGTTCTAAATGTTAGAACCAGTGGGGGACCAATACTGCATCCACTTAGCTAAGTATAAGATCGAAAAAAAACCCCCAAAAAAAACAGAACTCTAAACTTCTCTTTTAAAGTAGAACTATAGGTAAAACTTTAAACATTCCATTTTGGATAGAACAAGGGAGGTTTATAATTTTTTTTCTACCACCTGTGTCCCTTTTCAGAGATTTTACTTTTACTTTCTGTCCTACAGCAAAACAAATTAAGGGTATTCCTTGGGGCTCCAAGGTCACCAGAACTAATGTTCTCATGGGCAAATTTTCCCCTCTCTTTCCTTTCTGGGAACAACCCAAAATTCTGGATTTTCTTTTACGTTCAACGATAAATGGTAAACCAGACAAACAGAGAGGGTGAATCTCCCTAACAGGTGCACAGACAGCACTAAAATCCCTCTCCACTCAATCCAAAAAAAAAAAAAAAAAAAAAAAAAAAAAAAATTCCTTTAGTTATACTTTACATAGTAGGCTAGAAATAATTGAAATACAATCTCCACACATTTGCTTCCTTGAATTCCGTGACATGTGTTTACTGTGCACTCAGAGTACTGTCTCACAGAATTCACACAGCCTGTGTTTTGAACTATAGAGGAGCTGAAAGGAGGAGTTTCAGGAGGCAGAGTCAGTACTGGAATCACTGCTTGCAGGCAGCAAGGTGTCATGGGATATGTAGTCCTTACAAACTAAAAGTAAACAGCAGAGGAGAAGCTGCAGGGAAATCTAGCAAGTTGTGGAAAGAGATTGCCAGCAGACCAGGAAGCACTCACAACATGAATGGAGATTTTAAAAATAAGCTGATATTGGATTATCAAATATAACTAGTGTTTGAATTGCTATTACCATGCTGATGTTAAGAACTAAAGTCAAAACTTTATTTTTTTTCTAACAGAATAAAGAAGGGTTCTAACCAATGTAAGGTTTTTTTTTTGCTACCTGTGGGAGGCAAAATACCCCTAAAAAGTGAGGGAATCTCTGGTTGTCACCAGGGCCACCAAAATTAGTGTCCCTATTGGAAAATATCCCCAGTATTCCTATTCTGGGGACAACCCAAAATGCACTTTTGTTGATAACAGTAAACAAGACAAATAGAGGAGGGCGAGACTCCCTAATGGGAAACAGACCGTAATAAAAACCTGACAGGTGTTTTATTCCTTCTCCACATCGTCCAAAACTAAAAAAAATAAAAATTTTTGCCTTTAATTATACTTTAAAAAGATGAAAGTGTATGCTGTGATCATGGATTATCTTAAAATTAAGCCTAAATAAAGCCTTATAAAGATGACCTTATGCAGGAGTAGGAGTCTGGCCTTACGTAGCAAGGATGTTAAAAAAAAAAAAAAAAAAAATTGACAATTTTGCAGCATTGTTAAAAACTGAATATCACATTATGAAATCTGAGATATATTTTCAAATGACATATTTTTGACTACAGACTTACACTGGTCCTGTTCCTTTACTGAAAGACGTATTTGTCTTTGGTAGCCAGTTTTAGTATTTTTTTGGACCATCTTCCTAAAATCCACTTGCAGAGACACACCTACAGCGGGCGAGAATGTTAAGGTTTGTTTTCCAGCGCTAAGGAAGAAAAGAAACAGATGTAAAGTATATGTGAACCGTACCTTGCAAAACAACCAATTCAGTTTAAAGCAGAAATGAAAGGCAAAACATGTGTGTGTGCGATATATTTATATAAGCAAACACACACACTCTTTTGTTTTTTTTATTTTTAACAAGTGATCACATAATCTCTGTTCTCAGTTGCATAAGAGGCTTCCCAATGAATGGCGGTGTCTGGGGCATCTCAGAACAAATCCGACCATTGGAGGACAGACAGGCTGTGCTTTTAGCACAGCCAGAAAACTGACCATGCTGGGATGGATATGCTTTCATGTGTGGTCAGTGTGTAATAAGAGAGCAGGGGAACTGACAGGATTACCAGTTATTTCACATAAAGGAAGCAATACAAATAAAACGGAATACTTTGTAAGACATGGAACAACAGACACATCAGGAATATGAAATGTTGGGGGTACCATTCTTTAAGAAATTACAAAAAAAAAAAAAAAAAAAAAAAAATGAAAAAAAGGTACTCTTTTACACTTTAAAGTTTATGTAAACCCAAACAATAAACGTCTACTTTTATTCTCTTTTAGTTTGTGGAATAAACCATTAAGGGCCAGTTCACACCAAAGTCTGGATATGTTTCTGCATGTACGTTTTTGATTCTTTCCAGCGAGTTTCTGATGTGTTCCAGTGCCTTTTTTTCACTCTTTTTTATCGTCATCTTAAAATGGGACATGTGCGTTCCGGTGCATTTTTCATGTGTTCCACTACAGTTCTGTGCAGAAAAAATGCTGCACATTCTACTTTTTCTGCACTGGAACTGACTGCACAGGTGTAAACTGTACCATTGGAACCTATATAACCTACTTTCCTTGCATTTTTGATGCAGAAAAAAAAAAACCCCACAATGGACTACATCTGTTGTGAACAGGCCCTAAAACAGGATTTTTGTACGTACCATAAAAGCTTTTCTTGGAATTCATTTATGGATGCAGGATTTCAGGTACAAATTTGGTTAATTTGCCACCACCAGGAGGACTGAATATTAGCAAACAGAAAAATTGTAAGACTGCACTTATAACCCCCTCCTCTACCCAGAATGCCGCAGTTTTGTGGTAAAGCAATACCAAAGCAAGAACAGAAACACAGAGGGGTGTGACCTGCATCCCTCAATGGACTGATTCTAGGTACACAAATTCTATTTTCTTTTGTTCGATGAAGGACACAGAAATTCAGATGTCCAAAAGTGATCCAATTAAATGGGAAAGGAGGGGGGGGGGGTGCAACACAGCAAAAGAAACCCAACCAGCCTCTATAAGAGGAATAGAAACCCTCTTCAGCTCAAGAATCACACCCAAACCTGAATAGATGACAGGGAATCTGCCCAGGTAGGGATGGAGAGTCAACCTGATGCTTCAGAGCAGGATAAAGAAGAATACCAACAAAGGGAAATGACTGGATGTGGAAAGGAAACACCAAACTGGAATCTGGCAAGAGGCTAAACAACCAAAACCCACCAAATTCCCAAAATGGGAAGAGAAAGCCCTAACGAGATGTGGTCAACAGTGAAAAAAACTCTGGGAACAACCCCTAGAAGAACAGATCCCAAGCAAGAACTAAGGACAAGGAATATGCATAGTCCAGGCAAAAAGACCAGCAGGTCTGTATGGAAAGGCCCAGGTCCTTACGCTTCAATTTCTTAGACTCAAGAGAAAAAAAAAAAAAAAAAAAAACACCAAACACTCTGTGCCTAGCTAGGTAACCAAACCTTAAAGCGAGACATTAGCCCAGAAAGATCAAAAAAAGGTAATAGTTTGCACCAGGAGACACAAGGATAGGCAAGAGAATAAGAAAAAAAAAACTTTAGTGCCAGCCCCTTGAGATAGGAACCACCAGCAGGAACTCACGATGAAGGACAACATCATTGGTAACCCTCCTAGGTGCACCTGGAGCTTAATAGACACATGTTGTGGAACCTGCCTAACCCAGACCCTAGTCGTGGGCCTTAAAAACTTCTAATCCTTCCAAGTCCCACAAGCCATCATCAGCGAAAAGAAAAGTATTACTAAGTAGAAGAAGGAAGACCATTCACCTGAAGAGCTCTAGACATGAACTCATCTGAAGGATGGCTGTGGGTCAGCCAGAGATGGTGAATCTGATTCCAGATGGCCAGGTCCTGCAAAGTGCTCTGGACACACTTTACCCACAGCAGCGGGTATTTGCAGCAAGGAACTTGAGCATTCCCCCTGCTGAAAATCCAATGAGGCACAGGGCCTTTCATCTTGCTGTGTAACATCAGAAGTGCACCCAGGCATGCAAATTTCTCCTCCCAGTGTGGAAACTATAGGTTGAGGAAAGCCAATTTCCCAGATGTTGTCCTTAGGTAAGACAATACTAGCAAGGCTAATGCTCCAGTGCAGGGGTCAGATCACTCTTGCTGCTACAGGGATGACTCCCATTCCTTCCTAGAGATGAAGGCACTGCAACATCTAGATGGTGTAAAAATATAGTCCAAACCCCTGACGAGGAAGGAACTATCTCTTCCAAGGAAACAGATGGCAGCCCTGAGGATGAAGGTGCTCCCATGAGAGGAATCCCCCTGAAACGGGTTGTAACCTGTACGGGGCCCCTGAAAAGGATGAAGGAAGGGTAACCCCAGGGACTACCAGATCGATACAGACAAGCCTACAGGTCTAATCAGAGCCCAAACTCATGACAACCAAGAAAGGCACTATTTAGTTCAAGAGAAAGCAGGGGAGGGGGGAGTCTGTCCTAAGGGAGGATTCCCCAGACACCTTATTTGCTGACAAGAGAAAGGAGAAAAAAAAAAAAAAAAAAAAAAAAGGGAAAAACTCCCTAACTGAAGCCAGCGAAACTACGAGCATACCTTTTTAATGAGGGCTGAGCAGAGCAGCCTCCCTCATCAGAGCCAGTTGGCTGTTAAAACTAGAATCTGGTGAAGCCTGTACAAGACAGATCTTGCATGAGTGAGGTCTTTCAGGATGGTGCTTATTGCAAGGCTCTAGAAAGCAGACTCTCTTCACAGGAGGTTGAGTGACCCACAGTGTGGATGTCAGGAAGGTCTTTAGAATTAACATTATGGCAAATGCTGTGAGAAGCAGTAGGAATTCTCAAGTGATTTTGAGGATTCAAGACCTTATCTAGAAGACAGGCAGAGTTGGTCCCAGTAAAATCCCTCTGGAGAGAAAGGACACAGAGGAATACCATGTACCACAAGGGCCTTTTAATGAACCAAGGACATGGGAATCCCACAAGGAGAGGAGTGCAGACCCTGATGGGGGAAGGCTCTAGAGTTAACATACTAGTGTGCAAAAGAGAGGGGACTGGGAAACGTAGATCATTCTGCACCAGTAGTGATCAACTTTCTTGATATGGAAGGGGGGGGGGGGGTTCTCCAGTACAGCCCCTGTCATCATCAAAGGGCTGCACATAAAATTCAGTACATATTCATTATCTGAGACCGCAAACAGAGTATAGTCAGCGACTGCAGACATGGTAGAGTTACATACACTAGATTGCCAGAAAAGTATTGTGACGCCTGCCTTTACACCCACATGAACTGTAATGGCATCCCAGTCTTAGTCCACAGGGTTCAATATTGAGTTGGCCTACCCTTTAAAGCTATAACTGCTTCAATTCTTCTGGGAAGGCTGTCCACAAGGTTTAGGAGTGTGTCTATGGGAATGTTTGACCATTCTTCCAGAAGATCATTTGTGAGGTCAGGCACTGATGTCAGACGAGAAGGCCTGGCTCACAATCTCTACTCTAATTCATCCCAAAGGTGTTCTATTGGGTTGACGTCAGGCCAGTCAATTTCCTCCACCCCAAACTCACTAATCCATGTCTTTATGGATCTTGCTTTGTGCACTGGTGATGTTGGAACAGGAAGGGGCCATCCCCAAACTGTTCCCACAAAGTTGAGAGCATGAAATTGCCCAAAATGTATTGGTATACTGATGCCTTAAGAGTTCTCTTCACTGGAACTAAAGGGCCAAGCCTAACCCCTGAAAAACAACCCCACACCATAATCCCCCCTCCACCAAACTTTACACCTGGCGCAATGCAGTCAGGCAAGTACCGTTCTCCTGGCAACCGCCAAACCCAGACACGTCCATTGGATTGGCAGAGAAGCGTGATTCGTCACTACAGAGAACGTCTCCACGGTGGAGGCGTGCTTTACACCACTGTATCCTATGCTTTGCATTGCACTTGGTGATGTAAGGCTTGGATGCAGCTGCTTAGCCATGGAAACCCATTCCATGAAGCTCTCTACGCACTGTTGTTCTAATCTGAAGACCACATGATGTTTGGAGGTCTTTAGCTATTGACTCTGCAGACAGTTGGTCGACTTCTGTGCACTGTGCTCTTCAGCATGAGCTGACCCCCCTCTGCCATTTTACTTGGCCTACCACTTCGTGGCTGAGTTGCTGTTGTTCACAGTTGCTTCCACTTTGTTATAATACTATTAACAGTTGACCATGGAATATTTAGTAACAAGGAAATTTCACGGATGGACTTAATGCACAGGTGGCACCCTATCACGGTATAACACTTGAATTTACTGAGCTCCTGAGAGCTTCCCATTCTTTCACAAATGTTTGTAGAAGCAGTCTGCATTCCTAGGTGCTTGATTTGATACAACTGTGGCCATGGAGGTGATTGGAACACCTGAATCCAATGATTTGGAAGGGAGTCACAATACTTTTGGCAATATAATGTATTTACATAGTTGGGAAGGTTGAATCAAGACACCAGACCATTCAGTTTAACCATTGTGAAGGATGGCCAGAGACTCCGGACACGATACAAAAAGATGGCCAGAGACTCCGGACACGATACAAAAAGATGGCCAGAGACTCCGGACACGATACAAAAAGATGGCCAGAGACTCCGGACACGATACAAAAAGATGGCCAGAGACTCCGGACACGATACAAAAAGATGGCCAGAGACTCCGGACACGATACAAAAAGATGGCCAGAGACTCCGGACACGATACAAAAAGATGGCCAGAGACTCCGGACACGATACAAAAAGATGGCCAGAGACTCCGGACACGATACAAAAAAAGATGGCCAGAGACTCCGGACACGATACAAAAAGATGGCCAGAGACTCCGGACACGATACAAAAAGATGGCCAGAGACTCCGGACACGATACAAAAAGATGGCCAGAGACTCCGGACACGATACAAAAAGATGGCCAGAGACTCCCAGACACGATACAAAAAGATGGCCAGAGACTCCAGACACGATACAAAAAGATGGCCAGAGACTCCAGACACGATACAAAAAGATACAAAAAGATACAAAAAGATGGCCAGAGACTCCAGACACGATACAAAAAGATGGCCAGAGACTCCAGACACGATACAAAAAGATGGCCAGAGACTCCAGACACGATACAAAAAATGGATGGCCAGAGACTCCAGACACGATACAAAAAGATGGACAGAGACTCAGAACATGATCTAGGTGATGAAGACTGGGGATATGCTTCAGGAGACATACTACTATAGGTCATAAACTGGAGACATGTAAAGCTGCTAGAGTTCACTACTATAACAGGGCAGTAGTGAAACACAGAACCCCTAGGGCTGAAAAAAAAAAAGTGCCAAAAGGGCTGCAAGTTGAGCACCAGGATTCTGCACCATAGTGCCGGTGATACAGCAAGGTGTAACTGCAGGGGGGCACCAGAGGCAGGGAATTAGGCTGCAGGCCTATAGGAACACAGTCAGTGCTAAAGAGACATAACTATCTCGGAACCCACCAGAATGCATAACCAACCGTCCACTTGTAGAAATGGGGGCACACCTTCATGTCGAAGGCTGTTCAGGGGGTCTAGCTGACCTCTGACATCAAATCCCATGCACTGAGCCAGGCTCTAGGGTCCTGGTTAGCACCTACTGCAGAAGTAAATGAAAGGGAAAGGTGGGATTCAGCTGACCTCTAAAATTGAACTCTGGGATAAGCAAATATTCTATACATACAAGATGTGTATTTTTACTTAAATCTTGATGTGCTTTTGTGTATTTCTTCCAGATCTGTGCAGTAAGTCAGCATGAAATTTTGCCTCTGTACAAAAGCTGCCTGTAACAAAGAATGGTCACTACTGTTCTTGCACCTTGAGCAATCTATTTAAATCCTTTGTGGCTTTAAAGGAATATAATCAAGTGAAATTTTATATGCCCAGAGTTCAACTTTAAATCTGCCCTTTAAAAGAATATGATGTTGCCTACAGCAGTCGTAGATAACAGTTATGAAAGAAGTCTGGCACCTTACCCGAATGCTTGGTCAATTTGTCTGTCGAGCTCAGCAGTATAAGCCATCCACATGTCTCCATCATTCAACCATTCCCAGCGGGTCACTAGCTCGGACTTTACAGAAGATTTTCCTGTGGCTTTTCCAGATTCAGGAAGTGCAGCACTCTCATCTTCAAGTTCAGTTTTTATAACAACTTCTGGCTCAGGATCTGCTACAGCTTTCCTCTTCTGGGACACTGCTACAAGGAAGTATAGATTTTATTATTTTTTAATACAGTAGAAAGTGCTGTATGCTACATTGTGACTCACAACTTACCAGAAATTAATTCAACAAGCATCCATGACAAGTAACAGAAATGACTTAGGCCTCTTTCAGATGGGGCGGACCCGTCAGCGGATCTGTTTGCTCGGGGGGGGGGGGGGGGGGGGGGGGGGGGAATCTCTCTGCTGATCAAGCGATAACAGGTCTGTGTCCGCTCCTTCGCTGCAAAGCAGACACAAACAAAGCCTGCTGTTTCCTATGGGGCGGCTGGATGGAAATGGACTGCCTGTCCATTTCCACCCGCCTGTCATCTGATCCGATGGACGGATGGGGAACAGATCCCCTCAGTCCGTTTTTTTGCGCACACAGGATCAGATTGGATGCTGGCAAGTATCAGCGAATACTTGGCCACTGACACCCGTTGGTCCATAGAGATCTATGGATGGTTAAGTTTAGGTGAGGTTAAACCTCCCTCTCCTGAATGTGGAAGATTCGCAGGGTAGGAATGGTTTGACAGCCGGCCGTGAGAAAATGCATTTACACGTTTTTTGCAAGGCCAAGGTAGGCTAGTGTAGTGTTTCTCAATCTTTTTTCAGCCAAGGCACCCTTTAATATTTTACATAATTTTGAGGCACTCATTACAAAATGTAAAAAACTATTTAGTTTTACAGAATGCAGCAACATCTGCACATGTGGGACACCCCATGTCAGAGGTGATTTACTCTTCCAAAGCAAATACACTTTTGCACACTGGTACTGACTAGTATTCCAATGTTTCTCTTCTCCCTCAGTTTCTTTCTCTCACTCTGCTAATGTAAACCCAGTGCTGATGGAGAGGGGCAAGGGAGGGGAAAGCAAGGATGCTGTGCAGGGACCCATCAGAGGAGGCTAGAAAGTTGTAATGATGCACAATGAAAACCAGTGGCTTTGTGTAACTAAAAGGCAGGCTTGATCCACCTACTGGCTTGTATACAATTTTTGGGCAATTTTTAGGCATTTTGCCAAGGCACCCCTGTAGAAACCTGAAGGCACCCTGGTTCAAAAGGCTAGGCAAATGTACATGTATCATTAAGCACGAGATTGGTATACTGTAAATACTGAAGATCATAAATACAAATATAGTCTGCCAGCAATTTAACCGCTTGCCGACCGCCTACCCACAATATACTGTGGACGGGCAGCAGCTACAGGCAAAGCGACATATGGGTAGGTTGTTCTGGCTGTACTAACACAGTGGGGCGCTCCCCACCCGCGACTGCTGTGTCCAAGAGACACAGCGGAATGAAGATCCCGGTGAATGGGACCCGGTGATCATGTGATCACAATGTTAAAGCCATTATGAATCAATCTGACTCATAACAGCTCTGCTTCTCTTCCTGGTGAGTAGTGATTGACTCACAGCTCTCACATGATACATGGGGCCAATCACAGCACCCTGTACCATGTGAGCAGCTCTAGCCAATCACAGATCACCATTACATTGAACTGTCATGAACTTAACTCATTAATGACAGTTTAAAGCAAGCTTTGCATTGCAGAACAATGATCTTCATTGCTCATGCAATGCAAAGTGTGTAAAAAAAAAAAAAAAAAGTATCTATATCTATCTATCTCCCTGATCACCCCCTACCAGAGTAGTACAATGTTACTATGGTACCACTTTAATAAAAGCAGTAAAAAAAATAAAACAATAAATACTGTATCAAGAATTTTTTTTTTTTTAACCACTTGCCGACCGCCTGCCAGCATTGTGAGGGCAAGCAGCGGCTCTGGGAAAGGCAACGTAACCTTACATTGCTTTCTATTTCAGACTGTGAACCAGGGTGGATAAAAATCAATGATTTTTTAAAAAAAAATCAAAAAAATCTGATTTTATTTAAATCTGATTTTTTTTTAAATAACATGCTTTTTGAGGAAAATATATTACCATCCAAAGGTTATTCCATCATGAAATAAAGATTAGTTTTTTAATTATGTAGAATAAGGCTGTATATGTTTATTTTTTTTGGTAAATAAATTCCATGAATCCATTCACAATGTCATCCTCTTCCAGAGGTTTCTGTAAGATTATTGGGCAGTTTCTCTGCCTACAAGATATTATCACAGATGCTCGGTTTACTTTTGCAGTTCTCAAAACTGAATTTGACTCAGCGGAGATCACATGCCTCTTCACAGCGAAAATGTTATAACATGAACAGAGTTAAGAAAAAGACCTTAATCCTAACTTCTACAAACCTATGAATACAGAATCAACCCCTTCAGTGCGAAGTTTCAAGACGTTCAGTGAATAGAATAGAAACAATATTTTTCTGATTGTTTGGAGTGGAATAGATCTGCACAAGAAGAAAGTGAAACTAAGTGTGAGGAGGAAGGGGCTGACAGTCTAAGTTTCTTAAAATATATATATTTTGTTTAGCCAAATTAGTTAACAAACATGGATGTTTAAGCAAATAACATATGCTGGAATGTTATTGTTTCAGTTGAATATATCTATTTAAATGGTTATTATTAAGGTAATGATAATTTTTCTCCTTCCTAAGTACAACAGAAAAGTTGTCCAAATATTATTATTATTATTATACAGTATTTATAAAGCGCCAATAGTTCGCTCAGCGCTGTACATTACAAAGGGGGACAGAACATGTGACAGAACAATACCAATACAATGTGATACACGAGGGGTTCGAGGGCCCTGCTCTTTCGAGCTTACAATCTAGGAGGGAGGGGATGGTGGCACAGGAGGAGATAGCTGTGGTGGATGGAGTGGTAGGAAGAGTGGAGGAGGTCGGCAAATTAGCAGGGGGTGGGGTAGGCTTCCCTGAAGAGATGGGTTTTCAGGGTGCGAGGTTGGAGTCCAGAATGACACCCAGTACTCTGGCCTGCAGGGCGGGTTTGATGGTAGCGTTGTTGGATGTGACGGAGAAATCAATGGGGGGTGGTGTCCGGGCTGGGGGGAAGACAAGAAACTCGGTTTTGGAGAGGTTCAATTTAAGGAAGTGGAGCGACATCCAGTCTGATATGTCGCTCAGTAGGTGTGTGATTCGGGCTGAGACCAAGGGGGTGAGGTGGGGGGTTGAGAGATAGATTTGTGTGTCGTCGGCATAGAGGTGGTAGTTGAAGCCGTGAGAGTGTATGAGTTGGCCAAGGGAGGAGGTATAGATGGAGAAGAGAAGGGCCCAAGGACAGAGCCTTGAGGGACCCCAACAGAGAGGGGGAGTGAGGGGGAGGTGGTAGCATTATAGGTAACGCTGAAGGAGCGTTGTGACAGGTAGGATGAGAGCCAGGAGAGAGCAGAATCTCTGAGGCCGAGGGAGTGTAGTATTTTTGAGGAGGAGGGGGTGGTCGACTGTGTCGAAGGCCGCAGAGAGGTCAAGGAGTAGGAGCACTGAATAGTGGCCATTAGCTTTGGCGGTTAGCAGGTCGTTGGAGAGTTTGAGTAAGGCAGTTTCGGTGGAGTGTAGGGGACGGAAGCCGGACTGTAGGGGATCGAGGAGGTTGTTGTCGTTGAGGTGAGAGCATAGGCGGGTGTAGACTAGGCGCTCGAGGAGTTTAGATGTAAATGGGAGCAGGGAGATGGGTCTGAGGTTGTTCGGGTCATTGGGGTCCAGGGAGGGCTTTTTAAGTATGGGGGTGATGTGTGCATGTTTCAGAGGGGAAGGGGAAAGTGCCTGAGGAGAGGGAGAGATTGAAGATGTGGGTGAGGGAGCGTAGGATGGAGGAGGAGGAAGGTCGTAGGAGTTGTGAGGGGATAGGGTCGAGGGGGCAGGTGGTGAGGCGGACATCAGAGAGGATCTTGGAGACTTCCTCGATGGTAGTAAGGTCAAAGGTGCGGAGTGTGGGGGGAGCTTCAGTATGAGGAATGTAGGGTGGGGTGGAAGAGGAGGTCAGAGCAGTGGTGGGGCCGTGGGAGAGGGGTGATGAGGGGGTAGCTGAGTGAGGGTGAAGGGGGTTGGAGAGAGTTTGAGCAGCGACGAAGTCCCTGCGGGTTATGTCGAGGGGGAGGGGGGATAAGGGAGTAGCTGTGTGAGAGGGGACGGTTTGAGAGGGTGTGTGAGTTGCGGCAATGTCCTTGCGAATTGTGTCAATCTTGTTTTTGAAGTGATTGGCAATCTCAAGGGCAGTGAGTGAGGTGCTGGGTGGAGGTGGGGGTGGCGAGAGTAGAGAGTTGAAGGTAGAGAAGAGTCGGCAAGGATTGGAGGAGAGGGCCTTGATGAGGGTCAAGAAGTAGGCCTGTTTGGCAGCATGGAGGGAGGAGGTGTAGGTGTGGAAGGCAGATTTGTAGCGGGTGAAGGCTTGTTGGGATTTGTTTTTGCGCCATAGTCGCTCCAGGGCACGACTTTGTCGTTTGAGGGTTTTTGGTGTGATCAGTCTGCCAGGGCTGGAGCGGTCGGGGTCTGATGTTGCGTGTGGTTAAAGGCGCTAGTGAGTCAAGGGCTGTTGAGAGCGCATTGTTGTAGGGCGGTCAAAGCCAAGTCAGGGCAGGACAGGGGGAGGATGCGGTCGTGGAGTTGATCAGCTGCAGAGTGGAGGGAGGCAGGGTTAAGGTTGTGGAGGTTACGGCTGGTAGTAGTGTGACATTTGGAGGGGTAGGCGTTGGAGGACGAGGAGATAGAGAAGGTGATCAGGTTGTGGTCAGAGAGAGGGAAGGGGGTGTTAGTGAGGTTGTGGGGAGCGCAGCGGTTGGAGAAGACAAGGTCCAGGATATTTCCGTCGGAGTGGGTGGTGGATTGTATGCACTGTGCAAGTGCAAAGGAGGAGGTTAGGTGGAGGAGACGGGCTGTGTCTGGGTTGTCGAGGTTGACAGGGATGTTGAAATCCCCAAGGATGATGGTGGGTAGCTCAGAGGAGAGGAAGAAGGGTAGCCAGGAGGAGAAGTCATCCAGGAAGCGGGGTATGGATCCAGGAGGCCGGTATATCACAGCAATATGAATGATTAACCTATTAAACTGGGGATAAAAAAACGAATATGAAAAGTTG